GGGGGGGGAGAAGTACAAGGTTTTAATGGCAAGAGGGTTAATTGATGGCAATAGAAGGAATCTAGAGATGGGTTCACATTTCCATAATTGAGCTGAAATTGTGAGTATACCAACTGCACTTGGTTGTTTCTAGCTAATGGTCAGAAATGGAGGAGCAAATGTCCAGATGGGTAGGAAATAAAGCAGAAAGCACTGTGCGGTTTGTATCGGTGAACTTTCATGGCACACAGAAACAGACACATCAAGTGCATAGTGTATGTGTGCGTGTGGTTTCATTTCTAGTGTGGTGCTTGGCATAGCAAGAGTGTACTACGAATAGGAGTGCATTCACATTGTGCTGCCATGTGAAGATCTGTCCCTTGATAAGAGGCACACAGAAGTCGCTGCCGCCATTTTGGCATGGTTGTGTGTGTGTTTGTGTATTTTCAAGCTAATTTGAAATCTTACTAGCTGTCTTGGAATATATAGTCCATTCACTGTGTGTCGTCTTGTTCTGGAATGGCTGTTGATCTGGACAGAAACTGTGGGGTTTGCTGCCATTGTAAGCAGGCAGGATGAAAGGGAGGCATTGCCACGGATATTTTTCAGGCAGGCTGTTTGTTTCCCAAAAGAGGAAAACATTTCACTTGTGTTCAGAGGAACTCTGCCCTTAGTTTGTTGCATTTTATTTTACAGATTCTCCTTGCATTAAGAGCTCCAGTCAGAAACATTCATTCACATATATATGGATTTTGGAATATCTGTTTTTGCCTATATGCACAACAATTTTCTGTTTCAAAAATGTTGATGGATAAGGAACGCAGTCGAGGTTAATTAGGGGGTGTTTTGGGTTTGTTTTTTCCTCCCTTTTTTGGGGATATGTTATACAGGTTTTATTGTAAGCCGCTTGGATTGTCTGGCAATAAGCGGGATACAAATAAATTTTATTATTATTATTATTATTATTATTATTATTAGACATTCATGTCAAGGGGAAACCTTTACCTTTACATAATAATACAATATATCTTGGAGATGGGACCCAAGTCTGAACACTAAATAATAATAAAGTTTTGGTTTTAAAAATATTTATGATTTTGGAATTCTGCATTAGGGAGATGCAACCTGTACTCATACTTTCTTTTCTTTTGCATTCAGTATGGCAACTATCTAGTAGGCTAGTAACTAGATTCTGCTATATCTGAATATCAACTACTGTAGAGTTTTTGTGGGGGACAAAAAGGGCCAATTCTATTAAGTGGTTTATTTTGTTGGGCAGGAGCATAATATTGAGCCAGAGAGAGTGGCTTTTGTGAAAAGATTTCATTTTGTGGGGCTGGTTTAATAGAAGGGCGATCTGTTTTATGTGACCCTGTTTTGTGTGATGCTGGTTGTAATGGAGTCTGAGGGATGGGGTTTGGTTGTGTAGCATTTGTTTTGTGGACTAATGGGGTGGCATTAGGGCTGCATTGGCACCAAGGAGTATTTCTTGGACTTGTATTGAGCAAAAGAAAGCAGTTTAGTGGAACTGAAGAGATAATGTCAAGATGGAAGAGTTCTCTGAATCCAGAATAGTGGAGGGATGCTTGAGCAGTTATTTGGCAGTCTATGAAGTAGGAACATTTTTATGAGCCACAGAACACGCTTTTATGCATACACATAATATGTAACATTGATTTAGAGCTTGTGGTTAAGAGTATTGGACTGGGACTTTGGGAGACAAAGGCTCAAGTCTCATTTTTCATCCAAGAAATTCACTATTCAACTTGAGCCAGTCATTCTTTTTCAGCCTGGCCTGCCTCACAGGGTTGTTGTGAGGAGAAGATGGAGAAGAAGAGAATCTTTGTTGTTGTTGTGAGCCTTCAAGTCATTTCCGACTTACTGCAACTCTTCTTGGCAAGATTTGTTCAGAGAGGGTTTGCCATTGCCCAAACCCTCAGCCTCAGACAGTGTTTGCCATTGCTATTCTGTGAGGCTGAGAGAGTGTGACTTGCCCAAGGTCACTCAGTGGGTTTCCATGGCTGAACTGGGATTTGAACCCTGGTCCCCAGAGTCCTAATCCAATGCTCAAACCACTATGCCATAATACAAATGTGCCCTCTTCTCAAAGAGTCAGCATTGGCCAACTTGGGTGTAATCTGCACCGCAGAATTAATGCAGTTTGACACCACTTCAACTGCCATGGCTCCATGCTATGGAATTCTGGGATTTGTAGTTTGTTGTGGCACCAAAACTGACAGGGAAGGCTAAATAATAATAAATACCTCACAAACCTAGAAATCCCCAAATTCCATGGCATGGAGCCA